TTTCCCCATATTTTCCTCTAGTAATTGCAAAGTTTCAGGTCTCATATTAAGGTCACTGATATATTCTGAATTTATTTTTGTACAGTGTGTGTCCTAGTCTGTTTCTTCATTGCTGTGACAAACACTCTGACCAATACCAACTTGGGGAGGAAAGGGTTTATTCAGCTTACATCTCCCAGGTTACAGTTCATCAGGGAGCCCAAGGTAGGAACTCAGGGCAGGAACCTGGAAGCAGGAGCTGGAGCACAGGCCATGGAGGAATGCTGCTTACTGGCTTGCTCCCCTGGACCCTGCTCAGCCCGCTTTCTTATACAATACAGGCCCACCTGCCCAGGGGTGGCACCACCCACAGTGAGCTGGGTCCTCCCGCATCACTCATCAAGAAGATGCCCTTCAGACATGGCCACAGGCCAGTCCAATAGAGGAAATTCCCCAATTGAGGCTCCCTCAACCCAGGTGTGTCAAGTTGACACTAAAGCTATCCAGCACAGTGTGAGAAATAGGAATTTAGTTTTATCCTTAGTTTTTAAAGCAGCTTCTCTCACTGAACCTGGAACTCACTGTTTCAGCTAGACTGGCTGGCCAGCAAGTTCCTGGGATCCACTCCCACCTTAGTCAGCACTGGATGACAGATATATACTGCACTTGGCATTTTATTTAAAAATGGGTGCTGGGGATTAGAACTCAGGTCCTGATGCTTGAATAGCAACCACTTTATTAACTGAGGAATCTCCCTAGCCCCATACTTTTTTTGTTGTCTGTTTTAGCGACAAAGTCTCTCAATGGTCTGGAATTTGCCAAGCAGGCTAAGTTGGCTGGCCAGCAAGCTCCAAGGATCCACCTGTCTCTGCCTCACCAACACTGGGATTACAGCATCTGGCATCATGCTTGGCTCTTTCTGCTTTTCTTTTCAATGTGCATTCTGATGATCAAACTTAGGTCCTCCATGCAAGTACTTTATTGACCAAGCAAGTCATCTCTCCAGTCCTATTTGAATTGAGATTTTTATTTCCAACATTCCCATTTTTCTTCTTTTTAAAAAATGTATATTTTTTTACTGAGTTTTTGTGTATTTCATACAGTGAATCTTAATCATACTTAGACCCCTTCCCCATATGCACCCTCACCCTTTACCCCTCCCCTCCACCAGATGTCATGCATTTTGTCATATATATTGAGGACTATCTGGTCAAGCTGGCTGAAAATGAGTTGATCTTTTTTTTTTAAGCTTTGAAGAATTATTATTGTTTTTTAAATCATTATTTAAAATTTTTTTAATGACTACATGATTAGAAGAAGCATTTCACTACAGCTTTAACATATTCAGTAACACATTGCAGAGCAAGGGTACATCTCTTTCACAAGTGGGTGCAAGTTTCTAGGTTCACAGTTGAGTTAATACAGTTATACAATATTGAACTCAGTGTAAGCCCTGAAGGACATAAAATTGAATGAGTTTTTTAACCCTTAAAAAAGATCTCCATTTCATTTTAGAATATATTGTTCCTTGCAGAAAGACTCATTGTTTTTGCTACTAAGACTGAGATGTTGGCTCATGCATCTCTAATCTATATGTATCTGATTATTACTAGTCATAATTGGTTGCATTTGGATCCTTGGCACCTGTGTATGTCTATAAAGTCATTGGGTAGATTTCAACGGTAATGTTTATCACCTCTTCTAATTAGCATGATGTAAATTTCCATGCTTCCTCTTCAAATATATTATTTTTAGTTTGATGATTTGTGTGTGTGTGTGTGTGTGTGTGTTGTGTGTGGTGTGTACAGTTGATCTTCTTTAAGGGTGTAACTATAGATAGGCTGACTAGATTCCAGGGAATGAACTTGCACTGAGGGACATCTGGGCACAAAAGCTTGACTGGACAGGCCATTTTTCTTTTTCAGTCTCTCTTTTTACTGATTTTTTTCATCTAGTGGTTAAATTTGTTGCCAAAATCTTGAATTGATTTTACCCCAATCACTTGTTTTTTGAATCCTCTTGGAGATTACTGCTCATTTTAAAAATCAGACTTTTGAATTCTTCAGCATCTCAACCATTTCAGTATCTTTGGATTCAATTACTGAAGAGTTATGAACTTTAGGAGTGAGGGTGCCATGCTTTTTCATATTTCTTGTGTTTCTGTGTTGTGATTTAAGCTTTGGTTTGTATGGATATCTCTTTTGATTTTACAAAGGAGTCTTTTGAGTGACTATCTTTTGTGGCCCAAAAACCACTCAGAAAAGAAAACAAGTCATTATAACACCACTGCCAAAACAAAGCAGATATAGAAAACAAATTAAAAAGCCTATTAAAGAAACTACTACACCACGAATAACCACAGAAAAGAAAGTGGCAAAATAGTGCAGAATAACTATGAACTAAAAAGTTATTAAAGGTGAAAGAATAAAATAAATGGAGCAAGAAAGAAAAAAAAGGAAGTTTAAAGAAAAGGAAGAAAGAAAAGGGGAAATAATGTGAGGAATAGGAAAAGTGTAAGAAATTAAAAAAAAATCTACTTAAAAATATATAAAGGTAAGAAGAGGAGGAAGAACACAAAATATTTTAAAACACTAAATAATATTTGAAAATATAGCAATAAGAAAAACAAAGAAAAAAGAAAGAATAGAAGCAGTTTCTTTCTGGGTAGTCTACTGCTAGAATTCTCTGTGTGTATGTGCTGGGCTGCAGCTTCTGCCTGTTGTAGTTCCTCTCTGTTCCCACTATACAGTTTGTGTTGCAAGTGGGCTGAGGGCTGGGCCTGTCAAGGTTATCTCAGTATAAGGGATATTCACTCTAGAAGAGTCCCCCTTTTTGCATACTGGGAGTTGCTGCTGGCTCCAATGATCTTTGTGACCTGTGAACCAGGAAGCTAACTCAAATGCCCATCCAATTTGTGCACCCAGGACGTTTGTGCACCTAGAAGTAGAAAACATCCAAGCCATGGGGTCTTCCTTGAGTGGGTCAGAGTGTGAAGAAGGCGAAAAGAGCAGTGAGTTCTTCCCTGAAGAAGGAGAGTGAAGGGGAACAGGCAGTCTGCCTTCTGTGGGGTCTTTATGCTTCTCATCTATGCTCAACAGTAAACCACCTTGTAGGAGGTCGGTGCAGATCTGCTAGACCTAGGCTCAGTGATGTGTTTCCACAGTAATCCACAACAGATGGGGTTCTTTCCTTGCCACAGACGTTAGGGCCACCAACTGCTATCCTCTCCAAAGCCCGAGCTTCCATAAATCTCAGTAAGTCTGAATCTGACTCGGCCAGGCTCTACAGCTACCTCTCATGACAGTTTCCCAGCAGACATTGTGGCAGGGTGTCCCCAGGCTCCCAGGCTTGTGATTTTTCCCTCTTTGTTTTCAGGTACCCAGAGGAAGTCAGTCTTCAACAGCAGGCTCCCTCTCAAAATGATAGCTGGCTGTAGCACTCAGACATAAGGGAGTGATGCAGTGGATTTCTTCTGCAGTGTTAATCAGCCACTGTTAGATCAAATCCCCATACTGGACTTAAGGCTTGAGAGAACTGTGGTTTTCTACTGTGGCTAAAACCACTAGTCTATTGCCATCAGGACTGCCTGGCTTATGTTGTGTTTGAGACTTAAGGTACTCTCCAAAAACCCTAAGCAAGGGTTGAAGCTGTGAACTTTTCCCTACTTACCTCTGCCATCTTTCTGTTTCACCATATTTTTTAGTTGGCTTGTCACTTCTTTCTTGATTCCCAGTGCTCTTCTTTTCTTTCTCTCCTTGGACTATAGTCTCTCTTTGCTACCCTGACTCTTCACTCATAGAACGACACAGAAGAAACTTGTAATTCTGCCATCTTTACCCTGGAACCTCCCCTATGCTCATATTTCCATACTGACCACATGAATACCAGTTAAAGCAGACAATGTCTCAAGGAATAATCATAGTATTATGGTACAATTTAGTTCAGTTAAAAATAATATAGAAAATACTACTCAAAAATATGAATATAGCAAAAGGTTTTTCTGAGCTAAGAATATCCTATATAATTTTCATAAATATATGATGACCTGTGCTCTAGACATAAATGAGTGTATAGCAGTCCATATCTGGTACTGATGAAATATGTACTTAGAGTCTCCTGGAGCAAATAGAATACATAATTTCCCATCAGCACTGCCTTTATCAGAGTATTTTTCTTTCTGCTGAGAACTGATAATTGAGCTGAAGAAAATTTAGATATATTCCTAGAATCATGTAATTGATTAAGACCAGCTTTTAAAGACAGGTATTAGAAAATTCACAAGAGAAAAGTAAAATGGCCAGAATTTTCAAGCTTCAAGTTTTCTTCATGCCCAAGCCTGCTATAAGAACACATTGTTCCCAAATTATAAGCAATAGAACAAACTTATTCTGCCTTGTAAAGGACAGAAAATGAGATGTCTTATTGATAGGAACAACTAAGTCAGAAGGGACTTACAAAACTCATCAGAGGACAAATACACAGTTAAAACAAAAAGACCCCACGACAACTTAAAACTGTAGCTTTTTAGCCCTTTAATCTTAACCTCATTTTTCTGTTTTCACAAAACTCTACCACACTGGTGAAGAATATGTTTCTTCTGGACTAATATTGTTGGTAGAGATGGAATATGGGAACTTATAGAACCTTTTTTTTGTCTTTTTGAGACAGGGTCTCCCTGTAGCCCAAGCTGGCCTGGAATTCACTATGTAGACCAGGCTGGCCTTGATCTCACAGAGATTCACCTGCCTCTGCCTTCCAAGTGCTGGGATTAAAGGCCTATGCCTCCATGCCCTGCCCTTATAGAACTTTTTATACCCGGCCCCGCTTTGTCAAGTAATGGTTCTATAAGGGGAGATTAAGTAGAGAAGAATGTCTCTCATTGTGCTATCCTTTCTCTCTTGAGCATTACTAAAAAGGACAAGTTAATCTTGTCTCAAAATACACCTTTGAAAATATTAAGGTTGTATGATTAGTTTTAAAAGAAAAAATAAACAAAATGATTAATATAAAAACCAACTCACCAATGATGCCACTATCTCTGCTTTCAAGGGTGGAGGTTGGGCTGGTGACAGCCCCGTAGCTACAGTCCTTGGCAGTTGCATTTGTACTGACTGGTGGGAGGGTAGAGCAGGGGCTACTGGCAGGTGGAGAGGCAGTGCTGCTAGTCAGGGTGGAGCAGGGACTTATCCGCTGGGTGATTGCTGAGGTCTGAAAAATTAGTCAATAAGAAATAAGATAAACTGATTAGTTGTTAAAATATATCAAGACAAAACACTATCTTGATGAAAAATAATCTCCATGTGCAACTTTAAAAAATTATTTAATAACCACATAATTAGAAGAAGCATTTCATTACAACAGCATTGACATATTCAATAACAATTTGCAGAGCTAAGATGCATCTCTTTCAAAACTGGTTGTAAATTTTAGGTTTACGGTTGAATTAATACAGTTATAAAATATTGTACTCAGTATAAACCATATAAGACATAAAATGAAATGAGGTTTTAAGCTTTAAAAAAGATCATCATTTAATTATTAAAATACAGTTTCATACAGAAAAATTCATTTTTAATGCAATTGACACTAAGATGTTTGCACATGCGTGTCTGATCTCTATATATCTGACTATTACCAGTCACAGTCAGTTACTTTCTGAGCGCCTTGGCATCTGAGCATGGATATAAAGTCATCAAGTAGATTTCGGTAATGTTTTTCACATCTACTAATTATTAAGGAGCAAGCTTTTATGCTTTTAAGAATTAAATTATTATTACTTAAATTTTTTTTAAAATTCAAAAACCACATGATTAGAAGAAGCATTTCATTACAGCTTTGACATATTCAGCAACATACTCCAGAGCAAGAATACAACTCTTTCAAAAGTGGCTGTAAATTTTTAAGTTCACAGTTGAATTTATAGTTATACAATACTGGACTCAGTATAAACCCTGTGAGACATAAAATTGAGTTTTTAACCTTTAAAAAAGATCTCCATTTCATTTTAAAATACACTGTTTCTTATAGAAAGACATGTATTTTGCTAATATCACTGAGATGTTGGCACATGCATCTCTAATCTGTATGTATCTGATTATTACTAGTCATAGTCAGTTGCACTCAGATCCTTGGCACTTGTGTATAGATATAACGTCATCGGGTAGATTTCAATGGTAATGTTTATCTTTGTTGATTTTTTTTTGTGTGTGTGTATCACATAGAACATCCCAAACCATCTTATTCAACTACACACCCACTTCCCAGATGGCACCCTCTCATAGCCTCCCTCCTCCCACTAGAGCCCTTATACTCTGTTACCTCTGCTACTGTCCACTGTGTTGTTGGCACCCCCAGCTGTTCCCCACTATTTGTCTATCTGGTGAATCTAGTCAGCCTATCTAGAGGTCTTTGTTTTAGGAATGTCAGCTGTTCCTCATCTAGCAGCAATCAGCTGGCAATATTCCTTTAGATAAGATTGGGGTCTGCTGTTTATTTTCCCAGTTCTTTGTTAGGTTACTATCTGGGAGTCCCTTTGGCCACCCTTGCCAACAATTCAAAAGAAGGTATTTCCTATCTGTCATTGTTGCTTGTTATGTGGCCTTTAGCTATACATAAGGACTCTTAAAAAATTATATTGGCCGCTTTAATCTTTGGTTATACTTGCCTTTTGGGTGTTTAAGGTCATACAGTTGGCCCAGATAAACCAATTTATTTTTACTCTTAATGTTGTTTGAGGATCTGTTCCTCAGGGGTCACATTGGCTTGGGAGGAGCATGGAGCATGGAAGCATGGAGGAAATATTTCCTCTGTGTTGACCCTCCTCTTTGTAGATTGGACACTGATTCAATTCCATCTGGTGGGGTCTCCTCGGCCTCCTTGATCAAGAGGACAGGTGACCCACCACAATTACAGGACATTTTGGGAGATGCTCATAGTCCCCTGGAACTCGTGGACCTAGGAGGGCAAGGAGCAAAAACTGTCTTTTATGTCCCTCTGACCAAATTATTATAGGCCTCAAAATATGTCTGTTAAACATGTAAGAAGGTTAGTTCCACCAGTACGGTACTTGTAACTACTGTGTGTCATGTAGATAAATCTTGGGGAAAGACCAATTGTTCTCAGATAAACCTTACCTAGACATGTATTTCTTGATCTGGTATGTATAATTTGTCAGTAAGTCATTGGAGTATGGTTCCCTCTGGTTTTTAAAAACTAGCTAGGCATTATTTATCTCTCACATCGTCTAACCCCTCCATCATGGTTTCCCCAATTAAGGTGCTCCGATTTTCCCCCTTTTTCCCTTAATAATACCCTTCTCCTATGGTCCTACCTCTCTTGAGCTGCTTCTTTCCCTTTATCCCCATAGGTTCCTTGTATACCCTTCCCTCCTCCATCACTTAAACTAACCCAATTTTTATCCATATCTCCCTTATTAAGGCCTAGTTCTGACTGTTCTTCTCTTTCAGGTTCTTTCTTTTCCTTTACCTCCCTGGTTCCTTTCCATTATCCTGGTTCCTGTAGTTATGTCTGGATACATACTCACTTGTCAGGATTTATTCCAGGAGCCACATATGAGGGAGAACATATGTCGATTTTTTTTTCTGACTCTGTGTTACTTCACTTAGTATAACAGTTTCTAGTTCCATCCATTTACCTGCAAATTTCATGATTTCATCTTTCTTTACTGCTGAGTAAAACTCCATCATATAAATGAACCACATTTTCATTATCCACTCATCAATTGAAGGACACTTAGGTTGCTTCCATCTCTTAGCCATTGTGAAAAGAGCAGCAACAAACATGGATGTACAAGTGTCTCTGCAATAGGATGAGTTCTTTGTGTATATGCCAAGGAGTGGTATAATTGGGTCAAATGGTAGGTTCATTTGTAGTTTTTAAGGAGTTCTCCATAGTGCTTTCCATAGTGGTTGAACAATTTTGCAGCCCCACCAGCAGTGGATGAGTGTTCCCCTTTCCCCACATCCTCTCCAATATTTGGTATCATTTGTTCTCTTGATCTTAGCCAGTCTGACTGGGGTAAGATGAAATTTTAAAGTGGTTTTAATTTGCATTTCCTAATTAAGATGCTTCTTAGCCATCTTTAGTTAGCTGAACTCTCTGTTCAGCTCCTTAGCCCATCTTTTAATTGGGTTGCTTCTTGTCTTGGTTCTCTGTTTTTTGAGTTCGTTATATATTCTGGTTATTAAACCTCTGTCAGATGTGTTGCTGGTGAAGATTTTCTCCCATTCTGCGGGTTTTCTGTTCACTTCCCTGGTTGCTTCCTTTGGTATACAGAAGCTTTTTAGTTTAATGAGGTTCCACTTGTTGATTCTTGCCCTTGTTTCCTGAGCAACTGATGTCCGGTTTAGAAAATCCTTTCCTACACCCATATCTTTTAGGTTTTTCCCAATGTTTTCTTCTAATAGTTTCAGAGTTTCAGGCTTTACATTGAGGTCTTGGACCCATTTGGAATTAACTTTTGTGCAAGGTGAAAGATGGGGGTTTAGTGTCATTCTTCTACAGGTGGAGATCCAGTTTTGCCAGGACCATTTGCTGAACTTGCTATCTTTCCTCCAGTGAATATTCTTGGCCTCTTTGTCAAATGTCAGGTGGCAGAAATTGCATGTACTCATATTTGGGTCTTCAGTTTTGTTCCATTGATCTATGGGCCTATTTTTGTGCCAGTACCATGTTGTTTTTATAACTATAGCTCTGTAATACAGCTTAAAATCTGGTATAGTAATCCCCCTGGCATTGCTCTTAGTGCTCAGGGTTGCTTTGGCTATCCGAGGTCTTTTGTGCTTCCATATGAATCTCAGGATGGGTTTTTCCAATTCTTTGAAAAATGTTATGGGGATTTTGATTGGCACTGCATTGAATCTATAAATGGCTTTTGGTAGGATGGTCATTTTCACAATATTAATTCTTGTAATCCATGAACATGGGAGGGCCTTCCATCTTATGATGTCTTCCTCAATTTTTCTTTAAAGATTTTAAAATTTTCATTGTAGAGGTCTTTACTGTCTTTGGTCAGGTTTATTCTGAGATATTTTATTTTTTTTTGTAGCTATTGTGAAGGGGAGTGTTTCCATGTGCTCTTTCTCTGATTGCTTGTTATTGGTATATAGACAGTCTACAGACTTTTGTAGATTAATTTAAGAACCTGCCACTTTACTGAACGTGTTAATAATTTCTAGGAGTTTTCTGGTGGAATTTTTGGTGTCATTTAGATATAACAACATTATCTGTAAAAAGGGATAATTTGATCTCATCTTTTCCAATTATTACTCCTTTAATTTCCTGCTCTTGTCTAATTGATCTTGCTAGAGTTTCAAGGACTATGTTAAACAGAAGTGGAGATAGTGGACAGCCTTGTCTCGTTCCTGATTTCAATGGGAATGGTTCTGGTTTTTCTCCATTTAGAATTATGTTGGCTGTGGGTTTTTTGTACATAGCTTTAATTATGTTGAGGTATGCTCCCTCAAGTCCAATTTC